CCCGGCTCGGTCCGACAAGGAGCGGGTGGCCCTGTGCCGGGCGGTTGGCTCCCGGCAGCAGCCCGGGAGGGGCCGGTTCCCGGGTGCCGCAGAGGATTTCTCTGCTGTAACCGTGAAGGTTAGGGCTTGTGGCGACCAGAAGGGAAAAACTGTAGGGCGCGGTAGTCTTATAAAGACGTGGGTAATTTCGAGGCTGCCTAAAGACGCCGCTGCTTATGTGCTGTAAGGTACGTGTTTTCCCTGTGCACGCACACAGGCACGTCGTGTTTAAGCTTTCTCTTTTAGAAGCCGCTTGGGAGTAGTTGAACAGTGCAAAAATGAAGGTGAGCGTCTATCTATAGTCAAAGAGTGCATTATCGAAACCTAGTGAGTTGTATTTTTAATATTTTATAATAGCTTTTCACGTTATTTATCAATTTCACTTTACTTGCACCACAAGATGTGGATTAAGAAGCCGCAAACCTGTTGTTTTGATGTGGGGGGTGTGTATGTTTCTTGCAGATGTCAGAAGACCTTGCTAAGCAGTTAGCTAGCTACAAAGCTCAGCTTCAGCAAGTTGAGGCTGCCCTATCTGGGAATGCGGAAAATGAAGATTTACTAAAACTGAAGAAAGACTTACAGGTGAGAACTTGAGGGTATGAGTAGCTAAAACTTTGGGGTCTTTAGCAGGTGTTTCATCTTTCCTAAATATTTGCCTCGCAACAAAAATATATACTTGGTGGGTTTATTACTTTCTTTTCACATAATTTGATACAATTATGGTAGGGTTGGTTTGAAAAATCCCAAAGTGTGGCCTATTCTAAACCTGTCTTGTAGATCAGTAAAAAAGATGTACTAATTTATATCGCAAACTCTTCTGCTAAAAACTTTATTCCAAGCGATGAAAGATAAGCCAGTGCTGTCTTTACTATCTCTTTTTCTTTTTTTTTTTTTTTAAAGCATTTCTTAGAAAGTCATTATTTTTTGTTGCTATCACTATGCTGAAGCCTGATGGTTGGGCTTAACGTTATGCCTTTCTGCTTATTTTTGAGTTGTCAAATCATTTGATCCAGAATCTGTTTATTCATTGCATGCGTTTGCAATGATAAAAGCTTTAGAGTGTAGTTCTGTATTCCTTGTACCTCTAAGCCTTGGCTGGTTTTTGTAAAAGAAAGGAAAAGAGTCGTGTTCTTCATTTGCCACCTGCAGTTTTTTAAACATTTGAGAGCATACCACATTCTTAAGAGCTAAAAACCATGTCTGGTCCTTATTTGGTATTGTTTGGTGACAGGAAGACCACCAGCCTAATTTTAAGTTGATAAGTGGTCTTTTAGATTCTTGTGCATATAAAGACATATAAAAAAACCATCAATACTGTTAAAATTTGTCATGAGAGTGCAAGATGCTGCTTCATTTCTGCTGTGGATTGCCATCAGATCTAAAAATATATAAAACTACCCAGTACAAGATTCAGTAACCACTATTATGTATGGAAATAACAGCCATAAAAATCATGCTTCAACCAAAATACGAGTAGTGCCTCAAATCAGTGATCTTTAGAATTCCTTTTAAATTACACAGGCTTTGTGCCCACAAGGCACTTTATAGATCTTAATGTCCTTTGTTGTACACTGTTAAAAGCATGTGTATATTTTTATATTTTTAAAATGCACAGCAAAACCCATATGGGATGATATTTCCGATACCAACACGACCTCGGCTTTGATATGCAGAGATCATTGATGTGAAAGGACAACTTGCAAACTTTTTTATAAAAGCTTTCTGCACAGAATGGGGAAGATCTTTACACTTTCGTCCCCAAAAGGTTTGCTATCCATATGTTCCACCTTGAAAATGATACAATGTTTTGCAGACTTAATAGATGCCAAGCTAGCAATTGTAAAAATGGGCTCAATGCTTCAGGGTCTCAACTAAATAGCTTTCAAATTGGTTGAGAAAGATTGTTACAATGTAACTGAAACACTTTTTTCTGTCATAAATAGTGATGCACTACTGCATTTCGTATACTCGGCTCATTCCTGAGTAACAAGATTAAAATAAATGTTACAAGAATTTTTTATAAATACTTTGCTTTTCACCTTTTGTTTCACTGAAGCGCTTCTAGGACAGTGTCTGTGCACCCAAGGACCAAACTTACCTTTTGTACCAAGTAGAATTGATGGCAGCTGTCATCTCCTGTAATTGGAGATGATATCTGTGGGTGTTGCGTTCTGGAGCGTAGATCTCTGTCTGGCTTTGTAAAGACCAGTTGGTCAGGAAAAATCTTGGCAAACTCTAACTCTGCGGGTCACACCTTGATGTCATGGGAACGTGGCAGCAAGCCACAATGTTCAACCCATGTGGCCCTGTTGAGCTGCTGTGGCAGTCTAACGTGTGCTCAGAAATTTTCTTCGAATGAGCTATTCCGTAAAAGACATGGGTTGCAATAAAACTAATGTTTCTATCTTGTGTGCTTAGCACTATGATATGTGGATATCAGATGAAGATTTTACCAAAAGTTTGCTATTTATAGCCTGGTGTGTAAGTGACTATCAAATTCAAAGAATCCTTGGTAGACTTGTCTGAAACTATTCACGCTGGAGTTCTACAATAAACCATTTATGAATGTGGCAAGAATAAGTCAACAGTTTTGTATTACCGGTAGTCTACATAGCTGAAATACTCACTTTCAGGTAGCTTGTGCCTGATGTGATCTATTTGACCTGTTGAGATAAGATACCTGTTTCAAACCATGGTGCCTCTTGGATTTGCAGAATATAGCTATCTATATGTTGAGGAATAGTTTGGGATTTTGCATCTGGGAGGGAAAATTAGGCTAATGGTCTATGTTCTGCGGAGTGCTCTCAAATTAACTTGATAATCAAAATCTGTTCTGGTTCAGCTGTAGTATTACAGAAAATGGAAACCAAAGTAGTAGAAGTAACTGTATGCATGTTTCTCTGCTTGCAGTTGCTACTGATTGTGCTTACTGTTGCACTTATTAACTAGCAGCTCCTCTAAAACAAAGAGCAGAACTTTTGTTAGGAACGCGTTGGAAATTCAGACGTTAACAGCTGCAACAGAAACAAATTGTTAGGCCATTCATGCCAGTTGTATAGTTTATCAGATAAACACGCATGTAGGTTTATAATTGTATTAACTTCTTATTTGGGAACTGCTTATGATCCTTTAGGTTCTTGAGGAATGAAGAACAGCTTCTTTACCACTTTTTCCTGAGCTACACCCGTAGCTGAACTAGGATCTGAAACCAGGAGGGAAGTTCGGGCTCCACTGAGCCTCAGTTGAATGTTGTTTATCTGTAACCCTCCCCTAATTTAAATATTTACTGTTAGTTAGGAGAGTGACAATGGTTCATGCTGAGATGCTCAAAGAACTGAAGAATTTTTCTTCGAGGACTGCAGAGTTGCTTTGCCTTATACAGAAAGTTTAAATGGCCTTTTAGGTGTTGGCTCCTTTGACTTTTAACACGAGTGAAAACCAGTGGTCTTGACTGTGCAGAGTAAGAATATAACATTGACAGGAAGTTGGGGAGGGGTTTTTGCATGCTCCTGTCTGTGAATGAATAATATTTAAAGGTACTGGAAAGATTTGTTATTTGTCTTGTTGGATTAGCAAGGGAAGGCCTGACCTGAAATCTTAAGGTCAGGGAATTTAGAGAAAAACAAACACTTACATCAAAATGATGTAAGGAAATCAATTTCTTTATTATGCATCCGAGTGCTTTCTATAAAGGAGAGAGGGCTTACAGGGTGGCAGTCCTGGAAGGCAGTCTTCCACCCTGGCTCTGGGGCTTCAGTTCAGCCAATCCGCATATGTTTGAGTAAACCGAAAAATGTTTCATCACTTAGAAATGCTGCACTTAAACTTGTAGCTGTTGTGTGTTTTATAGATTACTATATGTAATACAGGCAGCCAGTCCCAAATGGGAAGGGGTGAAAGAAACTGCCAGCTGGAGAAAGAATAAAAGCGTTACGTCGTTTCACGTTT